ACTTACAGAATGCTTGTAAAATGTGATTTTTCATCACATTTCAAGAATCCAATCCAAGTCCATTCTTCTACATAGAATTCACGTTCTGTGATTTCTTTCGACCCTTTTCTTTCAAAGCTGTTTTCCAAAATCAGCCAAAATTGGACAAGTCCTTTTCTATCGCACTGAACTTGTCAAATTTGTGACAAGTCCCACTCTAACGCACAGATCACAAACCCCTCAACAATCTTCTTCCATCACCTTCTTTCACTACACAAAATGTCATCTTTACCGGGCGGTAAAGAAAACTACTGACATAGAAAAGTCCTGAGGCAACAGGAAGAGAGCTAAAAATCTGAAAAAATATGCACCTTGTTCCTAGATGTTGGGGCGTCATGACGAGTATTTTTTTGTATTTTACACACAGATATTGGTTAATGTACTAACAATAAAGGCTGAGAATCATCAAAAACCCACCTGTAACAATACCTGAAATTTGGCCCTTGACTTTGAAGACAGGATTTTGGAATCTTCAAACATCAATAACTTTTGCAGTTCTGAATCAAATCACTCAATTTGAAGTGCATTGAAAAGGTGAGCCTTTCCTCTACATTTTTCATTGAGACATCACATCTGTAGCTGGTCTAAAAAAGATCCTACAGAGCTATTCATGCAGAACTGTTTGAACATATGTAGAGTGTTTAAATGACTAGATAGCACCTTACTAACATTAGTAAGTGTGAAGGAGAATAGTTCAGCTTTTTAATGAACCAAAAATCGAGTTATTTGGAGCAGAATTGCAAAAGTTATTGAAGTTTTTAGACCACAAAATATTGTCTTCATACTCATGACCCAAATTTCAGGTATTGTTACATGTGAGTTTTTGATGATTTTCAGCATTTATTGTTAGTACATAAACCAATATCTGTGTGTAAAATACAAAAAAATACTCATCATGACGCCCCAACATCTAGGAACAAGGTGCATATTTTTTCAGATTTTTAGCGCTCTTCCTGTTGCCTCAGGACTTTTCTATGTCAGTAGTTTTCTTTACCGCCGGGTAAAGATTACATTTGGTGTAGTGTTTCACCTTCACCATCGTCCAAATTCCACTCCACTCAACCACAACTCAATGCCTTGATCTGGAGATAGCACTAACAATGAATTGGAAATTGAGCTAGCAAAAGAAAACAAATCAAAATCAAAATTGAAATTGAAATCAAAATCAAAATCAAAATCAAAATCAAAATCAAAATCAAAATCAAAATCAGAACCAGCCTCTCTGAGCAAGTCAATTAAAGTCAAAGACAAGAACAAAGATGAAGGTAGTAAAGTTGAAGATGATAATAAGGAAGAAGAGGAGGGTGGTGGTGCTGTATGGACTCAACAAGAAACTCTCTTTCTCATTGATGAGTTCAAAAATCAAACCGACTTGGGAAGAGGGAACGATGGTGGCCTCAAGAGCGAAGGCTGGAAGCATGTATTGGTCAATTATAATGATAAATTCAAAGTCAAGGTACCTTTGTCCAGATTAAAAAATCGAATTCAAAAGGTATGGATTGTTCTTTACCTTTACCTTTATCTGTTCCTTTCCTTTTCTCGCTACCCTTCCTTTCCAAGTGGTGCAGCTCTGACAGGATTCAGGCTGCTCAAAACCACATCTGGGTCGATTTGGGGATTGACAGGATTCAAGCCCAAATCAATCTCTCTTCCATATCTTCCACTCACTCCCATCTTTCTTCAAAACCACATCTGTTGTCTTTGTACTCACATTTCTCTTGCTTTCATTTGTTTCATTCTCTCGATTTTATTCATTTTATACATAGTTAAAGAAAACATATAAGGCTTTTGACAAGATCATGGACTCGTCTGGTGCTCCAGGAACCACCACGGTCACTGGTGAGGTCTATGCTAAGAAAGATTGGTGGGATCGTTGGATCAAAGTAGTAAGTACTTTGTGATCCTTTCATTTGTAGCTTATTGATCTAATATCTGCGTGATAGGATGGGAACAACAACGCAAAACCAATCCGTAATGGTGGTTTTCCAGCATATGAAGCTACATCACGAATTATGCCAGAGAAGAACTTACGAGCCAATGGTAACAATGATTTTGGGACTCAAAGCAAGAAGAAAAAGGTTGTCTCCCCCAAAAGCAGCGATTCAGATGGGGATGAAGAAGGTATATTCTATCATCTCATCTGAATACAATGTACTCTAATTTGAACTAACTAATTTGTGGTTTTAACTGTGTTACATCCCATCCAAAAAAGGTTCAAAAGGGGATCCATCTCAATCTCACAACCACTCTGATTCAGCAAAGGATTCTGACCTTGAGGAGATTCAAGCTAATAAGCCACCTCCTTCAAAAAAGAAGAATACCCCTGTAAGATACCTTCATTTTCTTTTCTTTCCTCTTCAATCGTTTTGATTGTTTGATTCTTCTTTCTTTCTATCTTTTTCAATCTAATCCATTTAATCTTTTTATTCACCTTACCAAGAGAGGGAGCACTAGCAGGTTGTCTGGTCTCACAGCAGCGGAACTTGCCCTTGACCCCGATAGCGACGACGACACCCCAGAAAGTCGATTTGTACGCAGCAAAAGGAGCCCAACTGGTGCCCAATCTTCAACTGTGAAAGATCTTGAACTACGGGACCCAAGCTAGTTTCTGAATCAATCAGTCAAGCTGTTGATCGAGTAACAAGTATGGAGGAAAGGAATGAAAGCAACAAGGTGGCTGTTGCTAAAATCAAGACTGAACAACACCCAATGCGAAAAGAAGCAATGATCATTTTTAATAAGGAATGTAGAAAGAAATGAAAACCTCAACATATCATTGTAGCAGTAAATGAATTGAAAAAAGATGATACAGCATTGTTTTTCTACCACATGGATAAAGATTTTTGGTGGGACTGGTTGAAGAGTGAAGCTAAAATATTGGATCAGTATCAAGAGATAGATGAACATAATGGATAGTATCAACAGTTTTCTGCTCTCCATAGGGTATCTTCATATTTGTTTTATTCATTTCATCGATTTTATTATTTCATTTCATCTTGTGGTGTATCTCAAAAATGAAAATTACAGTATTTATATGTATCATGTATCTTACGAAGTAAAGCATATACATTGTAAAGTAATATATATTCTAAGATTTTCTGGGTTGCATTTTTGATGAAACGATGAGCCCATTTAAACTTGTCTACGCGCAGCTGGTGCATTAATAAAATCATGAAACATCCAATTGGCAAGGTGGTCCCTTTGTTCTGACGCTTGAGTACGTTGGTTTGAGTTAGGCTCGGCCCAGTCTGGTTCACCATTATCATCCGCCATCCTCCTTCCCAAGCGCTCCTTCAACATGTATTCCACATAAAAGTCATCTTCTCCTGATTCAATGTCAATGATATTGTGCAGGACACAGCAAGCAATGACTATCATCACTTGAGTCTTATATGGGTAAGATGGCATCAAAGCCAGGATTGGAAATCTCATTTTTGAGACACCAAAGATGCGTTCAATGACAATTTGAAGTGCGGAATGTCGGTGATTATAAAGTTCTTTGGCGTTTTGTGGTGTCAAGTTGGAATTCTTCCATTCCTTGAGGTGATACCGCACTGATCGATAAGGTGTTAGAAAGCCTGGTACGTTGGCATAACCAGCGTCGGCAACATAGAACCGATCTGAAATGAACAAATAGATCAATATAAAAGTATGATGTTTTGGAAAAAGGATTGAAACTATCTTACCTTCAGGAACTACAAATCTTTGCTCTTCAAGTGCTCAATGAAGAACACGAGCATCAGCATGTGATCCTTCCAAACCCGCATAAACAAATGTGAACATCATGTTGGTTGAACACCCGGCTAGAACATTTTGGGTCAGAAGCCCTTTTTGGTTTCGATGGGCTGGATGTCGATCAGTGGGAACAATACAAGGGATGTGGGTGCCATTGATGGCACCCACACATTTCTCAAAGTATGGGAAGAAGCGTGGGTTATTCCAAATTTCCTTTGGACAAATTTCTCCTCCAGTAGGCTGGACAATATAGATTGATTCAAGAGATGCAATGGCATGGCAGACGTTGTTGAAGTATTTGCTGATGGTGTGGCCAGACCTTTGAAAGCGCTCTCCAGCTACTCGATTGGATCCAGAGTTTCCAACAATATATAAAAAAATCATAACTTGTTCTTCCACCATAACGCTCCTCTTGCGGTGGATGAAAAGCTTGCCTTCCAGGGCTCTGATCAATCCCTTGAAGGCAAGCTTATCCATTCGACATAACTCTCGAAATCGAACGTCGCTGCCTTCCAGGATCTCATGTGTATACTGATTTCCTCGAAGCTTTGATGTTCTACAGGGCTTCTTCTGGGTGGTTATCGAAGCAAGGTAATCTATTCCAGCCTTGATGACAACATTGAGAAGCTCAATTGCAGGTCGAATTGATACAGAGGACATGTCAGAGTTGGAATCGGACAAACTTGACATTATGACAGCTTGGGAAGGATGGTTTGGAGGATCAAAAGGTCAAAACCTTTCTTCATTGCAAAGCTCAAAACCGTTGTGAATTTCAAAGGTTCAAAACGGTTCTTAATGGCAATCAAATCAAACGCGTCCTGATCTATTTTTTCACACTTTTTTGAAAAACATCAAATTTCACTTTTTTTTTTTACAAAAATCACTTTAATACATGTATTAAAGTGGTCACCCCAAATGCGATTTCAAGAAATCCAGCCTAAGTGAACGCGGCCTTAAGGAAACACCGTAAAGATCTTGACCTGAACCCCCCTACTGTTGTATTTTTTTATTAGTGACACTTGAAAAGGTGTTCTGATTTATACTTTTTCACCTCCTTTACAACAGACAAGGTGTTGTAATGTAAATTGACCCAAAAGATGTTCACTTGAAGCGTTTTACTGTACCTTCGTGAATCAGTCCACTACATGGGAAACATTTGATCTGGTTCTTTGTGCCAAGGTGTTGACCACCCAACTGCACCTTTCTTATTGATCACATAATGGTCAACCTTGTGAACTCAAAGTGTTACATTGCTATGCAGTAGCCTTGTTTCATCATGCATATGTGTAACTCCTTCTACAGCACCGCTCGATCAAGCTCAGAAAAAGTAAAGCCTTGAGTTAGATTACCAATAAAGCTCCATATCTACTTAACCCATCGTAGCACACTTTGATAAAGTCCCCTTTACAAATCCTAAAGCCCAGATTTGTGTATCAGAGCGTGAAGTAGATGAACAAAGAATCTGATTGACCTCCGGATGAAAAGATATAGTACCTCCACTTGATGATCTTTTTTGGTCATTACCCTCTCTAAAGACTTTCATCAGATTTTCAAGACAGTTAGGTTCCGCAGCAGCTTGACTAGCTTTTCGATGGCGTTCCACAAATCGTTCGATGAGAGATAGGTGTGCTTGCCATGTAGGCTGTCGAGGAGTGGTCTCAAAGTTTTGGTAATCTGATTGATCAAATCCGCCTACTTGATCTCGATAGGGACAGTAATCACGATGTGAGGTCAAAAGGTTGGTAGGTGGACGGCGCGGAGTGGAATCGACGATCTCTGTTGGAGTTGGGATGAGGATAGACCAGAGGCCTATCTGGCGGTGACATAGCTTGCATGAGAGTGTGCGAGAGCTAAGTGCTGATGAAGGACGTCCAGATGAAGACGATCTAGGTGTGGCTGCTTGGGGGGCACACGAACGAGAGGTAGGTGTGCCAGGAGGAGAAGGTACCGAAGAATGTTGAAACTCAATTGAGTCAGGATACCAGCCAAAGAGAGCAAGAATGAGAGTTGACGCAGAAGTGACTCGAGGTACTGATTGGGGCGTTTTGTTAGTCAAGATCTTTGTCGCCATGAAAAGGGTATCGATAGCGACTTGAGCTAATGGATGTTCTGTATTCAAGGCTGTTGTCTGGGTTGTTTCTTGTGCAAGTAGTTGTTCAAGGTTGGCTGCAGTCTCAATAAGCTCGGAGGCCGCTTCAAAGCCTCCTGAGCAACGTAGTGCACCAGTGTAGATCGTCGGTATACAACGTCGTTTACGCCAAGGACAAGAGTTACGGTGTTCTTCAACGCGCATCCGGCAGCCCAAGTGGGTAAGGCGTACACCGCTCGCAGAGCTCCAACCGGTATCTGACTGGGTTGAGGGGATGGCCAAGACCCAAGTTGCTTGACAAGATTCGCATTTCATTCGATTTTTGGTACCTGACACACTAGTCCAACCAAAACTAGCCAAAGTCGGGGGGGAAAGTGAGGGTGGTTTTCCAGCAGGATAATTGGAGAGTTTGAAAGTCGATAACCTTTTTAAGAAATCAAACAGGTCATTTGGATGAACATCAGAATGGATTTGATCATTTTTCATTGTACTGTATTCTGATTTAGAAGATCGAGTTTTGAATTTAGATTGTCTTTCACGTCGACGAGTCACTAGTCTTGAACGAGCTGCTTCCAAGGCTGGTGTCGAAACCGTAGATTTGGATGGATTGGTCGGCTTGTCACTGATACTTCGAATATAACAAAGAGTACTTATGTCAGAAACATTGACAGGGGATCCAAATTAGGTAGATATAATATGGTTGGTCAGAGGGACTGACTGATTGTTGAGAGACGAATTAGGTTGAAGAGATGATGATTGTTTAGGCTGAGAATGACTAATGAGCTGAAGAGTTCGAAGAACATTCTCGAGTTGTTGATCTGAATTCTTGCAAGCCATCGTCGATGATTAGATGTCTTGACGGCGGAAGAGTGAAGGGGTCTTGAGTGAAGTTGGTCGAGAATCAAGATGAACTGAGAGGCAACAAGTTCTTGGGACTTGGCTCATTTTCGGGAACAATGGGGAACCGGGAGGTCCCTGACAGTGCTGACTGTCAGCTGACAGTAACCGCTGTCACATACCTTTTGCAGACCTTTAAACCCCGTGAAATCATCTAAAACTTTCACACCCTCTTTTCTTACGCGTCACACCCCCGTCACATGTTTTCTGACATCCCCATATGTACCTCACCAGATCATTTATAAAGATACAACATCAAGCTCATTTGCTTGGTTGTGACCAACCAGAGAGGGATATTTCTCTTTTCTCGTGGCTTATTAAAAGATTGATGGGTTTGTCTGCACTTTTACTTGAGACACTCGAGCTCACAGAGTGATGATAATATATACATAGATAAGCAAACCCAGAACGATTGAATTGGGAGCACTCTTGGGAGCGCGATAAGATAATCATTGATCACTTTTATTGTCTTGATTATTTGAAGATTTTGTTGGAAATAGTTGAGCAAAGTGCTTATAGGTCAAGAGGTGTCCAAAAGTGTTGATCTAACTGGCAAAGTCAGTTGAGTGAGGTTAACTTGACACATAAAGAAAGATCAATGAGTTGAATCGATTGTTTCTCAGCTTACCTTTAAAGTTCATTTATATTGTCAACATTAATCTGCTGGATCCATTTCTTGGGAAGTACCTTGAGCTGAAACCACCGTCATCTCAGTGGCGAGTGTGGTGAACCGTATGACATTGGCGGGGGTATGGTGAATTGGGGGAGTTGATTTCACCACCCTGTCCTGAGTCTGTCTCGTAGATGGCAAAAGGTGGCGACAGGTGAATGAGGCAGTTGTGTAGGTTGTATAAAGCCATTTATCTTATGGGTTTATACTGTGCTGACAGTCAGCATGTGTCAGCAGGTGCTGACAGTCAGGGCCCTCCCAAGGGCCGCGATCTCTGTCATTTTCGATCAAATCAAAACCTGAAGACCAACATCGGGTTATCGGTCCGGGGCCAGGCCTATATCCGATTGTCAACATCCGTCCAAAAGTTGCTTTGTGGGTTTAGTTGTTGTGTCCCGGAGATCACGTCCTTCGGGAACACTTCAGGATCCGGGTTTTTGTCCTGATAAATCCTGATAATCTGATAATAGTGGCTCTCAAACCTGCCCCAGTTTTCAAAAAACCCAGTTGACCCAGTTGTTTTTTGGCAGTAACTTTGTGTATCAACTTGACATTTGTTGACAGCTCCCAGCCAAAAATTCCACTGGTGCAACCAGTTTTTTTGAAACTGGGTCAGGTTTGAGAGCCACTAATGAGGACCCCGGCAAACCCCACGAAAGCCGGTTGACATGGGAGGTATGAATTTTCGGGGAAAAAAAAATTGACATGGGTGTGTGACAGGTATGAATCTGATTTTTTTCAAAAAATGGTGGTTGTGTGGATGTATGAATTTCACAATCTCCAAAATCTGTGAAATTGAACGTAGATGTCACAGGGGTATGAATTTTGCTAAATTTGGGGGGTCAACAAAGACTTGTACCGCTTAGATGCACGGCAAAGCTCGCAGTTTGTGTTATTTTGAGCAAATTTTGACTGAAAAAAATATTTTTCTCCAAACATGCCAGAAAAAGTTGTCCAATGTGGAGGTCTGGGAGGTATGAGGACTAAATTTTGATTGACCACACCCTTGGAAACCCCCGGGACGTAGGTGTGAAAGCTGTATGAAACCAGGATTTTTTTAAAAGATTTTTTTAAAAAAGACATCTTTTTTTGGGTATGAAAAAGGCCAAAATCAGTGATTTTAGACAACCCACTTACCTAGGACTTTGCCGGGGTCCTCACTAATGATAAAATTCTGATAATACAGCGTACAGCGCCCCTGATACAAGCAATCTTACAGACTACACTCAGCATATTACATAGGTAAGTGTAAGTCCATGCTACTGTCCAAAACCTCAGCATTAGGTCATGACAGGTGTATGTCACTCACCTGTCCCACCTTCCCTCAATGAAACAATATCTTACCTCCCATCAGTGTTTCACCGCAAAATTCTTTTTTCATCACCACGACGCAATTCCGAAATACACCACGGACGCAACCTACACCACAATCAAGGACATAAATAGAAACCTCGACCATGCCTTACCAACTCCATCGTCTGTTTTCTTGCCAGAAATACTCTCCGTGGGCGACTTTCCACATCCACAATCTGCCTCCTCGCCTCTTTGAGCATGTATTCCCCGCCAAATTCCAGCGCCAGTCTCCACACACAACTCTCACCCTTCACGACCTATCTACTGGTGGCTCCATCGAATTGATTTTCACATCCAAATATCATTCGCAGTCTCAAAACCAACTAGCACCTTTCACAATTGGTCCCCTTTGGTCTTCACATCTGATTATTCCGACCACCAGCTCCAGGAGTGGTCCCCAATCTTCAGCATTCACATTCTGCGCACATCACTTGCAGATACATCTCACGCTGCAACCTTGGCCTTTGGGCCACTACTACATTGATCATAGACTAACTCGACAACTATCCCAGTCAGTCTATCTCCTTCATCCCCTTTTTGTGTATGGATGTTGACACATCCATATTGATTTCAGGTTGAGTCCAATTTCCTTCCCACATACAACATGGTTGTCGCGACCCTAATTCACCCTGAATATGTCTTTGTCACACCTGGGTACCTTCCTGAACCCCCTCAACCAGGTGCCAAGGCTGGCCAGCCAGTCGGGATCTACTGCCCAACCTGCCATGCTGGCCTTAAGTATTGGACTCCTAAGGCTGACGCGTGGTTAATCGGGGTATGTCACCGTTTTTTTCCTCTTTTGCTGATACTCATACGCCCATAACAGTGCCCAAGTAGCCAACAGCACAACATGCGCACCTGGCGCTGTGACCAGTTCAACCACGAACAAACACTCATCAACCTTGGGGTTGCAAGACCCATTATCTCAAGTTAAAAAGATTGGGGCCCTTGTATATCACCCGCTGGGCACGTACTCAACCCGCTTCCAGAGCCCCCCACACCAGCTTGCGCACAAGAGGTGATTCCTTTTTATAGGCAAGTACTCCAACCACAACCCCGCAAACACCCTTTCCAAGGACACGTGATGCAAGGCCCTATTGTGTCAAACACTCCAAGCTGGTCACCACCACTCTATACCCCCACTGCTAGCTCATTGCTTCCACCACCTCAACTGTTGACTGCACAATCTACCGCCTCAACATCTGGACCTCACCTCAGTACGCCACCAATTCCTTGCAAGAGACAATCACAAGGACCTGTTTCAAAGGGACATTGGAACAACACTAACAAGGAATGTAGATTCAAATTTTGTCAGACGGTATGGTAGCTTTCATCTAGATACCCCTGAGATGAAGTCTTCAATCCACAACCAGCAAGCCAGCCAGCTAACACGTGGTCCTTGTTTTTAAGTACTGCATTACTTACAGACCAGGTATGTGCCGTACACACCCTTGCCCCAATTCACAGGCCGATGTGCATCCCTACACCCGACCACACACATCAACTGCAACTCCCAATTCCACCACATCATCCAAACCTATCAACCCCAGGCAAACTCGTTTGGAGCCTTTCTGTCACCAATGGGCACAAAGCTCTAACTCCTTAGGACGCACCTGTGGCTACCTGACCCTACTGTATGACCCCAATGAAAAACGGGTATTTTTCAGCGGAGTCACACCCTACTCTTGCAGGCAGACTCGCCGCCGTGCCAGACGAGTCTAATGCCAATTTTTTCTATAAGTCTTTGACCTGCCAGACGAGTCTAATGCCAATTTTTTCTATAAGTCTTTGACCTGCCAGACGAGTCTGCAAGCTTAGAACCCACAGACTCGCTGGTCCACTCGCAAGCCCCGTCTGGCCAACTCCCAGACTTGCTGCCGCGTCTTTCCCACACCAGATCAGTCTGCCTCGCTGATCCAGATCAGTCTGACTCACTGATCCTACATAAGTCTGTCACTTATCACTCCTTTTCATCACGCTCTTCCATCTTCAAAATCACAACCAACCTTTTCAGTTCAAATCTCAACTCATTACGACATAACCATTCAGGAAATGACTTGTCTTCCCAAGCCTGTACACTTACTCAACCAACTCCAACCCTGGCTTCATACTCTTCATATTGATCCAAATCACTGTTCTCATGTTCTCATTTCAAACGAGCCTCTTGTTATCGAACAAACCGATCAAATCAATCAGTCAATCACACCATCCATCTTTCATCATCACTCACACACCCAGACATCCACTGAATTTCATCACAATTGTATTGCGGATATACATTTTTGTTTCTTTTTGATTTTCAAAACTAACGATTTTCTCAATAACAATTTAAGCTCATACTTGGTCTTTCATCATCCAACTTTCTCCACGTACTCAAACCTCCTCCGCTAACCATTTGATTGTTGAAGTACTACATTGTCGATATAAGTCATACAAAAACGTACCCGAAGAATCCCCACAAATCCATGAGTGACAGTTCTTCCAAAAGAAGTTATACAATCAAAGTTGAGATGTGCACACTTTCAAACATCAGCATCAGTTCAATCTTCAATGATCACGTGTCCTACATTTCATGCTTTACATCCAACCTCACATTTGAACATCTTACTGTACTGTAACACCAGATTGTGGTATTTTTAAGTTCAATCTTTTGTTCGTAAATTTGAACAGCTTACTGTACTGTAACACCAGATTGTGGTATTTTTAAGTTCAATCTTTTGTTTGTAAAAAATATACAGAAACCTTTCTCTCAAGGGAATGTTTTGGCCACTCACTTGGTGCTCACAACAGCTGAGAGCAATAGTACAGCAAGAACAATAGTTATTTCTCAAAATTGTATTTTAAGTGAGAACGGGCCAAAAAAATCAATCAAACACATAAGGAAGTGAAAATACAGAAGATAGTGAGACAACCTCTCCTCACTGATACCCTGTAACAAAGCATGAAAAAATGGAACTATAAATCAAATGCTAGATTGATTATGAATATAAGGAAGTTAGAAAAATCCTAAATCTATGAGTCGACAAATCCAGCCCACTCTAATCCACCCCACTCTTCAACATTGTCAACAAACGTGTCATCAACATCAGCCAAGAGGTCACCATTGACACCATCATCAGCGGGCTGTGATGGTTCTGATTGATTGTTCTCGGTACCATCCGATATCTTCTCAAGTTTGAAAAAGCCTGCATTCACATCGTCCAACCAGAGACGTCGCTGGGAAGTCTTCATTTTGTCAAAGCCCAATGCCAAGACTTCAGTTGATAGTGCTGAACCGGGGAGTTGAATCACTCGTAATGAGAACTTATCCTCTGCACGCTTGACAGGGTCGGGTCCGCAAGGAAATCCTTGGACGTCCATCTTCAGTGCTGTTTCTGTACATAAAAGACAATGAGAATGAGTGAGTTTGTCATCAGATCAGCGGATCAAATCGTGCTTACTCATCTCAAGACGCAAGCGGTGTGATAGTTGTCCTTTGAGAACATCACTTGGCGAAGGTTCCTTAGCCCTGACGAGATTCTTCTTCCCAGTCTGTTTTGCCACGACCTCATTGACCGAGAGACCCTGGATATGAGCAGCGAAAATTGTTGGAAAATTGGCCTTAGTTGTGACATAGTCGGCCATGTCATTGTGTGAAGTGAATTCGCGGCACCACCCAGGGTCTGAAGATGATCCTTCGGTGGCTGCATAGTTACTTGAAGCTATGAGGTAATAAGAGAATGACATTCGATTGGATTTGTTTGCAATCTGGATATGCAAAGAAGGCAAAAAAAGATATAACATTAATTGATACGTCAATCAACAAATCAATTTGAATAAAATATGAAAAACCTGGTCATGAAGTCGCTCAATACATCTTAACAACTTGCAGTTGTATTCAGGAAGGGTTTCGCCGTCTGCCACCCCTGCGGCCACTTTGGCATATACCTTGGCGACTTTTTCTTTACTTACCATCTTGTCATATAATGTCTGCAGCTCTTCTCTTTCTTGAGTCGGCAGTTCATCCCAGCTTTTCTCATCTTCATCTTCATCATCATCGTCTTCATGATCATTTGGTTTAGGTGGTGGAGGCAGGCCAGAAAGAGCATAGAAAATTCTTGGATGGAAAACACGTCGACGAGCGAGGGGAAGCGCAGTCCATAATGCTCCAACCACCTTGTTACAATTAGACAAAACACCGGTTTGTCCTCTGTGAGACACTGTCATGAATACGAGTAATTGATACAATGTAAGCAAAGATCATAATTATGCAAACAAGAACAATTGACTCACTCTTGGGTTTGCCCCCTTCCTTAGAATAACTCATCCAGAGATGGTAAGCATCATCACCTCGTTCTCCACCTAACTCGCCACTGATGCAAATAGAATGAATTTGATTGATATAGAGAAGGAAAGATACACAGAACAGAGAGAAAGAAGAACAGAGAGAAAGATCAACAAGATGAAAGACGGAACATTAGACAAGACAATGATCAAAAAGGTCAAAGAAAAGATAGACTCACATTGACTTGTTGAGGGTATAACGAGACACGTTACCCATCATAGCTAGCATGGCCTTGTGCCGTCAATAAAGCTTCTGGATAGCCTTCAATTCGGTCTTGATGTGAGGTGGGACCTGGTTACCATTCTTCTTACCACGTATTTCAGCCGTGATTTTGTATTCAGGCCAATCATCAACAAGTTCCTTGTAATTTTTAATCGTTGGCATGGTGGTTTCAAAGTGTAATGCGTCTTTGGTTCTTTCAGTCTCATTGGCGGGATTGTGAATTCTAAGACGTTTGGCACGCTCGTTTGAAGTTGTAGCCAATGTTGATATCAATGATAGTACATGTTTTCCTTGTCTTTTGTCATTTCTTGCACCGGTTTGATTGTCGATCACGCCAATAGATTCTTCTGGCTCTGTATCAGAAGAGCCTCCTTGATAGTCTTCATCCCGGTCATCAGATTCTTCAGAGCTCATGTTGGCGTTATTGACTGAAGCTAATGGTTGTGTTAGTCGACAAGTACTACGTTTGCTGCGTTGAGACTGAGCCGGAGGAGATCCATTATGGGAAGGAGTTGGTTGTCTGCGCTGAGTTGCAGAAGAGGATGTTTGTCGAGGCAAATGAGGCCGTAAGGCACAATTGGGGGAAGGTAAGTCAGGTGAAGGACAAGGAGGGGCATGTGCTTGCTGGGTGGTCAAAGCTTGAGGTTGTTGAGAAGAAGGTGGTTGAGGATTGGGTGGTGCTGGTTGAGAAGATGGTGGCGACTTATGTTTTGCTCCTGATCTTGTGATTCGAGCCATACCGTCTAGATGATGAAGTATGGATTGATACTACTACGTAGCTTAAAAGTTAGAGACAGTTTGAATTTATTCAAGTGAAACAGCTGCTTACCGAGTAGAGACAAAAACGTTGAAACAGTCCAAACGGGATATATCGGAATGTTGATTCAAGAACTTGAGGATATATATCGAGATTGGGAGTATATAAAGGATCCCACTATTTGGCGCCCGCTCGAGTAATACCCGAAGCCCGCTTTTTTCGGTGCTTTACCCGTGAAAATCATTCATTTTTCAAAGAACCCGGACCCGCCTCAGCCAAATTTGGCCGCAGCCGCGTCACTTCCGGGCTCATACAGCAGCTCGTGCCCGCTCGGAGGAAACCGGGCTACTGAATTCCCGGAAGTGGGCAATAGTGGGCATCCAAGCTCATCCAAGTGGACACTTGTGTTCTAAATCCGGGCTGAAAGACCAAAACGAGATACGCCGCCAGAACTAAGACTGCCCTCAAATTCAACCCAGCACCAGCGATTCAACTTACAAGTTCATTCAACCCACCATCCTCAACAAGCCTTGTCCCAAGATGGTAAGTCTGTTTCATCTCTATCTCTCCCTGCCTTCTATCTCTCTCCCTGCCTTCATCCGATCAAGTAAGTAAGTTGCTGACCATCTTCTGATCACAGCCGTCGTTTACTTTTGTCCATTTCCCTTGTCTTTTCAACTCCACCGACCCTCCGATCCTAAACATTGCATTCATATCTTTGACGATGTCAATACCAGGACCTTCTACTTCGACTTTGAAGAAAAAATTGGTGAACCGTAGTGCTCCCCAAGGCTACCCAGTCTATCCACCGTTTCCACCTCCACCTTTTATGTACCCTCCTTACTGGCCACCATTTCCGTATCCATCTCACCAAAACGATACTGTAAACCATTCAGCCCTTCCACATTGGCCATATCCTCCCCCGTTTCCTTCTTATGGATCTCATTTACCTGGCTCATCATTTCACAATACGGACCACGATGAAGACGCCGCTTCCCCATCTCAACCCGTTCCTAGCTTTATTGAGTCCAAGACAAGCGTCAAATCGGCTGTTACTCTTAATCTACCGACTCAATCCGCTCCTGTGTCTCAACTTTCCAATCTTTCTCATCCTGCCGAGTTTCCTACATCTGCTCCTCTCATTGAAGACAAGACTACCTCCAATCTTTCAACCACGACTTTGAACTCGTCGTTATTCAACACATCAGCAGATGCAGCTCCTTCTCACCCAACACATCCAATACCGATAGTCAATCAGCAACCCCCTATTGATGATATGGACGTTGATGCAATCAACCTACAAGCTGAACGTGACGAAGAATGCCCCCCCATTGGTATAACTGCTGTTGTTTCCAACTTAATTCACACCAAGCTGACAGCAATTCGATCTCTTCTATGACCTTTTGTGACACGCAGGTGTTGAACCAGTTCGTCTATTGGAATCCCCACGATTCGGGAAGCGTTTTGTGGCCCTTGAAAGCGGTGTTATGTATTTGAACGCGGTAGCTAGGCATCAAGGATATGCAATTGCTATCAAGAGCCACAAGGGCGATAAGCAACGGAAGGCACGGGTCTACTTCAGATGTTCACTTGGACGCACTGTCTCGTCAACCGCTAAGGTCCGTGAAACCTCGACAAAGATGACGGGGTGTCTCTTCGAGATATCACTCAATTACCATCAGAAACCCGCTCGATGGATTGTCCAACAGGACTTGAAGAACCCTGACAAACACGAACACAACCATCCTGCTTTCGACCAGCCACATAATCTTTCAAAAAACCGGCAATTCTCAGACCATGTCATGGGTCAAATTGACACACTATCCTCAGCTGGGTGTCGAGCCTCACATATTTGTTGTCTCATCAACTTCCCAGCAGGTTCAGATCCTCTAGTTCGAGATATTCACAACGCTCGATATCGGCTGAAGACATCTTGGTTGGCTGGGCGTACACCCATCCAGGGTTTGTTCGATTTGATTTCAGACGCCAATTGGGCCTTTCGTACGATGACGGCACGTGATGGAACATTACAGTCCTTGTTTTTGGCCAGCCCGCAAGCAATCACTATGGCTCGTCGGTTTCACACCGTCATCGGTCTCGACTGCACCTACAAGACCAGTCGGTTTAATCTCCCCCTGCTTCATATTGTCGGCACATCCAACACACACAAAACTTTCACCGTGGCCTTATGCTTTATGCACAACGAGGTTGAGGATACGTACGTATGGGCTTTGGAACAGTTGAAATCGGTAGTTCATGATCCAGTTTCCAAAGAACAACCACCAACCAGCCAACCAGAATCAAGCTCTCACTCCGACCCAGACACCTTGGACCTTTTGAAGACATCCAACGCCAACAATTCGCAAGTTACCACTTCAAATTCGATTTCAGTTGGTATCGAAACAGCTGAAGACAAAGCTTTCACCTCCTCCAACAACTCAAAACTTCCAAAGACGTTTTGTACTGATGCAGAGCCTGCCCTGTACAATGCGATTGGGAAAGTTTTTCCAGCTTTGACTCATCTTTTATGCATTTGGCACATCAACTTCAACATAGGTAAAAATTGTAAGAGCAAGTTCACCGGTCCTGAATTCACCGACTTCATCAAGCTTTGGAATTGGTTTATGCAAAGCACGACAAAAACTGAATACGACGAAAACCTTGAGGCAGTCAAGAAGATGGCTCATCATCACAAAGTCTTGGAATACCTGGAAAAATCATGGCTTTATCGAACTGACAAGTTTGTGGCACTATTCACATCTCAGACCCCCCATTTTGGGAACTCATCCACATCTCGACTCGAGGGCGGCCACCGTCGCCTCAAAGACTTCCTAGAGGGCAACAACAACGATTTTGTCACCTGTTTCAAGGCTTTCAAGCGTGCCGGGGATTCTCAATTCGACGAGATATTCATTTCGACAGGAATAGAAAGCCAAAAGACTTTACTCGGCCTACCCAACATGTTCCAGGAACTGAATCGCACAATCTCACATTTTGCGCTGAAAAAAATCAAGGGGCAGTATGATTTGATACCCGATTCTCTGAATAGGACTTGCACGAAGACCTTCCGTGGCGTATGGGGACTGCCGTGTTCGCACAAGATTGCTAATGCCTTGACGGAAACTAAATATATTCCAGCATCCCTTGTTCACCAGCAATGGCATATGTCCATAGAGATTTCCCCACGTGATCATGGAGAGCTACTGAAAGCTGTGCAATCAAAGTTTGACCACTTAATCAACCTGCCCGAACATGCTTTGCGGAAGATTTATGAAGAGCTTGGAAAGCTCGCATCTGGTCGGTACTCACTGGTTCCTATTGCAAACGCCGCAGTCAAAGTCAATCAACGAGGCCGACCTCGTAACAGCCAAAAACGCCCTGCTCCGTCTGAAAAAGGAAAAGCAAAGAATGCACGATGGAAATCAGACTTTGAGATCGAAACGGTCAAAGAAGCAAAAAAGGCTCAACCTAAGAAATGCGGCTATTGTGGCAAGCGTAACCACCGCTTAACCTCCTGTCCCCGACGTGCCAAGGATATTCTCAACAATCCAGATGAAGACCTAGCCGACGAATATTCAGAAGATTCCGAATCAGACGATGATGACAGCGCTAGTATTGAGCTCGAAACAACTCACCTCAAACCAACTCCTTCTCAAAAACCAGCACAGATCAAACCATGTGACCCAGCTCAAGTATCATCAATTTCACAACAAGGAGAAGGCAAACAATCGGACCTGATGGTATCTCAAGAGATCAAAGCCAAGCAAATTTACAAGTGTAGCTTGTGCAAGCTCCCTAATCATCGAGCCAACCGCTGTCCCCCCAAGTCTTTATTGGCTCCCACATCATCATCCACGACCCTTTCTGTGACAGCATCAACCTCGGTCATGATTCAACCATCGACGTCAAACAACGAGTCAAGCACAGCATTGACCTTGAGCGGGTTGACACAACCCGCTCACGAAGATCTTCTGGAAATCGCACTTTCGGACACCAGCAGCATATCATTTGGGTCTTCTCAGTCGACCTCTGACGGACACGATCTGTGTCCTTTCTGCGATGACCCAATGCCACCAGAGCCTTCGAAGAAACTATTGAGTCTGAAGACGGTCCTTTTTGCTTTGCCCAACATACGCAAGCGAATAGGAGGTCATCGAGATGCTATGGATTTACCCGTGAGTAAGCTTTTGTGTTGATCTCATCGAGATAAATTGCTAATCATTCGGGTCACTCTTCAAAACGACAATTTGTGAATTGTAGTTTCCCCAAACTGCAGCTTTTTGTCATCTTCATCGTGAGGAAAAAGACGTGATACCCATGGGGATACGTGAGGGATGGCCTATGCAGATCAACTTCGAGTTATTGGAACAGTGAGTCCATTCTTCACCATCACAAACTGCAAAAGGTATTGAACCTAATAACCACAGTGTCTAGACGTATTCAGAAACATCAGAATCGTCTTGCCCAGATTGTCAAGCGGGAAATCCCTTCGTCTTTTCTCGATGTTGCCCAATCCCAGTGGAAAACCCAGGGATCACGGATGTTTAGTATGCTTGGCAAGTTTGAGGGATATGAGCTGGAGCAGCCCGGCTAGTTAGTTCAATTTTGACATCCTGTGCTTTTATGTTTTTGATGACTAACTAAACATAACCATTAGTTATGGTCAGATGGGTTTTTTCGTTATGTTCAAGGTGCTGTCCAAGATGTTCTTGGACACGGATTCTGTGACCACACTCAACAGCAAGCCGTTTCCATCGGATTACTTCCTTTGTCGCGTACTGTTGCCCGAACTCGCCCTATCCCTGATTGCCAAAGATGTGGGCCTGCCGGTCACCGATGCCAAAGTCATGATGATTCTCGAACGAAGCCGGGCTTTTGGAGTGGCTGTCTTTTCTCAAAATGACGATGATGTGCCTTTGAAGCTTGGTAACACAGAGAAAACTATTGTAATCTCATCCTCTCAGTCGTCAGATCAAGGAAA